CGCGGCTGCGCCGGGACGGCGGCTCGGCCCCAGGAGCGCGTCTCCGCGCGCCCCGCCCTCCCGGCCCCTCTTCCAGCTCCCGCGTAACCACCGCCGACCTCGGCAGATGAAGGCCGATGTTCCGGCTGCCCCGACGCGGCGGGCCCGCGGGTGCAGGAGTTGGAGTGCGGGGCTCGTCCTCTGCTCTGGTCTCTGCGTTTCCTTCGTTCATCTCTGTGTACATGCCCCATGCGCTGTGTACTTGCCCGATGCGCCAGGGAAAAGACAAATAAGTAGAGACTAAGCAGGCGGCCGCGGCCTGCGCAGTCCTGGCGACCACTGTAACTTCGGCCGGTTCCTGCAGCCACCTGGACTCGCTGGGTTTCCACACCGCCCTGAGCCGGTTCCGTCACAGACTGTGGCCCAGTGTTGTCTGCACAAGCATAAACTTAAGTACATTTGCTCTCCGTGTACTTGAAGTCAAAGCGAGCTAACGCTTAGAAAGTTCTGAGCGCGGTGTCTGGCAGCCGCGTTTGTTAATCCGGTGGGCACAGCACAGAGCTCAGCCGTGGGGCCAGGGATGGGGTGAGGGTCCAGGCCCTGTGTTCACAAGGTGTTTGGTCAGGGCAGTTACTGGCTTCTCTGGGCCTTGGGTTTCCTTTCACTGTGAAAGACTGAAGCAGAACTTCGACTTGCACACCCATCTCAGTGCACAATGCTTCCTGGTGTCTATTGTCTCACCGATTGAAACAGTTCACTTTTGAACCTTTCCAGCATCTTCAAGCCTAGTTTTTTGCCCTCGTGTTTTGCTTTACTATCACATGCCGTACTCTAGCCTGTTGGGTTGCCTTTAAACATGTTCTATGAAGGACTATAACTGGTGTTAATAAACATTGAGCCTGCTGGTAGGAGCAGTTCTAGACATCCAGTAGTAACAGCTGTCTTGGTTACTGCAAACACCAGTCTGTTTTATTAACAGAAGAAGTGGATCTGGGATAGTCATTTTTTTAAAAGCTCACGGGTGGGTAGTTTGGGGGGGAGAAAAGTTGAAGAGGCTCTGCTGTAAGGTCAGCCACCGGGACTTGCAGGAGTCGTGCGCTGCTGTCCGCCCTCTGCAGCCTACACCCGCCTGCCCATAAGCTGTTTGACAGCCGGGGAGCCTGACTGAGCTAGGAGGCTAGTCACAGTGACCAGATTGCTTTGTTGCTTTTGTCACTTCCTGCGTCTTGCCCCCACCACCCACCGTTTCCTCTTTTTTCAGCTTGCAGGGAAATTGCCTCCAAGTATCTCCAAGATGTACAGAACCAAAGTGGGCTTGAAGGACCGCCAGCAGCTCTACAAGCTGATCATCAGCCAGCTGCTCTATGATGGCTACATCAGCATCGCTAACGGCCTCATCAACGAGATCAAGCCGCAGTCTGTCTGTGCGCCTTCGGAGCAGCTCCTGCATCTCATCAAGCTAGGTAGTCCCTGGGGGGCCCTCATGATACCAACCGATTTCTGCTGCTTTCCCATGTCTGAAGTTTTCTGGTGCTTTCTGTGCTAGATACTGCTAGGAAGCAATATCTACCACTTCACACTGGTTCTCATCTCAGGGTCCTCATACAGGTTATCTGAAACATTCTGTCACTGCACATTCATACATTGCTAAGGAAATGAGTGCATTCTGAAAAATAACACTATCGGGCAACTCTGTCATTGTGCAGACACCACAGAGTGCGGCTGCACGGCTGGCGGCCTGTTTATGTAAGCCCGCGTGCTTGCTGTGTTACTGAGCTCTTGGGCTATGAGCTGCAGCGTCTCGGAGCCATGGTCCCATATGTGGCGTTTAGTGGCACAGAACTGTGTCTTCAGGTTTCAGCTCAGATGGTACCTGCGTCTAAGGCCCTTCGAAAGTCATAATGCCCCCCCAGCCCCCATTTACTCTACCACAACCATCCTGTTTGCTTCATAACAGAATTGCTCTCCGAAGCTTGATTCTTTGGATTGCTTTCCTCGCCATCCTCACCCTCCGCAAAACGATAGCAAGCTCAAAAAAAAAGATCAGAGCCTTGTCTTGTGCCACGGTGCATCCTGGTGCCTCACTGAAATAGAGAATTACCAAGTGTTTCTATAGGCTTCAGTCTAGCAGTGCCAGTGGTGAGAATTTGCCCTGAGGCAGAAGGAACCTGTGTTACAATGACCAGGTGTTAGATCCAGAAGCATGGGACTGTGTGTGTCCCCATGCTGACGACTTATCCCTGGGCGGCCTGCCAGGAAGGAGCGAGCCCAGCCCAGAGCGTGAAGCCTTCAAGCTGGTCCTGGCCTCTGCCACTTCCTTTACTGCACGCCTGGCGTGCTTGCCTTATTCCCTGCCCTCCTCACGGCAGCGTGCTGAAGGCAGCGGCATTATCAACATCTTAATTCAGCTGGTCACGACACAGTGGAGTGATGGGACCTCTGACATCACCCGAGGACAGCCTGAACCCAGGCTCCTTTTGATGTTCTTCTTCATCTATTTTTCTAATTTGTCCTATGCTGTTTAACTTTGTTTATGTAATATCTAAAGTTACTTTTTAATTTGTGATGCTAGTCTTGATAGAAGTGCAACTTAAATATCAACATTCTTTGAAGAATCCTCCACTCACACTGTTAACTGCATGCCGGACTTAGCATTACTGCCACTAATAGGCATCGGTGCCAGAAATCGTAAGTGCAGGATGGGGAGAAAATGAACATTTTACAGGATTACTGTGTGTTTAAGTTCTGTAGTTGTGGTTAAAGTAGTGAACTTGGGAAGCAAAAGTCAGAGGGGCGAGGCCTGAGCTCCGAGCCGCACGTGCTTCGCCGTGGTGTTTCCAACGGCACCCCTGTAAGCACAGGTGTTAAGAGCCGTGAACCTCCAGAACAGTAGTCAGTGGGCGTTGGTCAGCTTCTTTCCCAACTCTAGCTGCAGAACTTTGTGTTCGCATTTCAGAAAACATATTTCTCTTCTGCCTTTCAGGAATGGAAAATGATGATACTGCAGTTCAGTACGCGATTGGTCGCTCAGATACAGTCGCGCCCGGCACAGGAATCGACCTGGAATTTGATGCAGATGTCCAGACTATGTCCCCAGAGGCTTCAGAGTATGAAACATGCTACGTCACCTCCCATAAAGGCCCGTGCCGGGTTGCCACCTACAGTAGAGATGGGCAGTTAATAGCCACCGGCTCTGCCGACGCGTCCATAAAGATCCTGGACACAGAGAGGATGCTGGCCAAGAGCGCCATGCCCATAGAGGTACCGCCGCCCCGCTCCCCTCACGCTGTCACCGGAGAGCGAGACACTAGTTTAAGTGAGCTTCAGCTGCCGGCTGCGTCGTGCGAGCTGGCTTCAGGCTGAGTGTGCACGCTGAGCATCTCTTCTCGTTGGTCTAGGTCATGATGAACGAGACTGCGCAACAGAACATGGAAAACCACCCCGTGATCCGGACGCTCTACGACCACGTGGATGAAGTCACATGTCTCGCTTTCCACCCAACGGAACAGATCCTGGCCTCTGGGTCCAGGGACTATACGCTCAAGTTGTTCGATTACTCCAAACCGTCAGCAAAAAGAGCCTTCAAGTATATTCAGGTTAGGGTGTTTGGGAAAGAGCCTGACTTGTTTCTGAAACGGTGGGAGCTGTCTTACGGCTCCTCTGACGAGCGGCCGAAGCCGCTTCCTGTGAGACGGGAGCGCAGCAGCCAGCGCCGGCCGCCAGGCTCCCAGGGCAAGTTCCTTGGCTCAGGGGTCACAGGTGATTGGGCACCCGCATCCTCAGCCCCATCTGTGTGGCCGCTGCTGGTGTCAGCTCGGACGGCAAGAGTTGAGACTCTTGAGATGTCGCAGATCCCTTTTTAAAAACAAAAGCAGCTTCACTAGTGAGGAACTGTGGGAGGGCGGGCGGG